TGATTACAATGAGCTCTGTATTGGTTAAGTACAAGTTCAACCATTTATGTTTAAAATTTTAAACTAATAATTTTTAAATGAATTTTTGTAGTTAATTCATTAAATTTTCTTAATTTATTTTTTTTGGCAATTTCACTTGTACTAAATGAAATTATAAATGAGAGAGAAAAATATAAGTATTCACATTTAATCATTAATTTTAAACATAAAATTAACAAATAAGTATTAATTACTCCCTCCGGTTCAAATTATAAGATAAATCTTATCTATTTACGTTTATCAAGAAATTAGCTAAAATTAGTTTAGAAATATAAATAGGTAAGACATGTATTTTTTTCCTCATATATGCCCTCATTAATGAAAATAATAAGTAAATAAATCAAAGAGAAAAGAAAATATATGGGGGGATAAAATTGAGAAAATACTAAATGTTTTCTTATAAAAAAAAACCCCTCTAATAAAGTTTAGCTTATATTTTAAATTAAGTTATTTATATTGTTGACCTAACTAATTTTTGTAGAAGTGGCTTATGTTTGTGATTAGAAAGGAGTACATTAAAACCCCACTGGCTTTTCTTTGAATATTTTTACATCCTTCCCGAGCAATATAAATTATAAAAGGAGAACGATCTAAAATTTCAATTTAAAAATAATTATGTACTAAAACATTGTGTCGTAAGTTATAATTATTGATACAAGTAATTGTAAATTTATTAGGATTCTTAGTTCTAAAAATCACCAAAAGTGATCTGTGTGACTTAAATATTTTATTTAATTTGCAAACAAGATTTCAATATTTGTGACTACTTAAAGTTGACATTTTTAATTATTTTTAGAAATTTTTTCCCTAAATATCATTAAATTAATTTTTTTATATACGACCTAAGGGTTATATACCCCCATTTACAAATCATACCCTAACAATTTCTCAAATTTCGATGAAATGACTGGTGGAGAAAGATAATGAAAGTATGTTCACTACTTAAAGTTGACATTTTTAATTATTTTTAAAAATGTGCGTTGGTTTTTTTTTTAAGATATTCCTTCAATTATTTAAATTGGAGATAATTGATGAAAAGACTTCCTTAATATGTATAATTAATAGAGATAAGTTAAGAAATTATAAATTCAGAAAATAAAGTAAATACTTTTTTAATTTTAAAATCAAAACAAACCATTTAAATAATTGTGTTATATTTCGGAGGCAGTACTGTTCAATTTCTCAAAGTCAAAAGTCCAGTCGTCCAAGACAAGAGGCGGGCCAACCAGCATGAGGCCATGAAGGGGCATAAATTGAAAATAATAACATATTTAATATATTAAGAAATAAAAATTTCTTCTTTTCACACTTATATTCTTCCTTCGTCCTTGCCTATTAATGGGATAGTTGGCACCACAAATTTCCAAAGGAACAAGACCGACCACACGGTCAACACATGTGATCCCTCTTCTCCCATTAATCAGAGGCGGGCCCCTATGTTTTAATTTTATGTTCTATTCACGCTTATACTCTTCCTTCGTCCTTGCCTATTAATGGGATAGTTGGCACCACAAATTTCCGAAGGAACAAGACCGACCACACGGTCAACACATGTGATCCCTCTTCTCCCATTAATCAGAGGCGGACCCCTATGTTTTAATTTTATGTTCTTTTCACGCTTATATTCTTCATTCGTCCTTGCCTATTAATGGGATAGTTGGCACCACAAATTTCCGAAGGAACAAGACCGACCACATGGTCAACACATGTGATCCCTCTTCTCCCATTAATCAGAAGCGGGCCCCTATGTTTTAATTTTATGTTCAGACTTTAGCCTTTTTTATATTAAAAAAAATCAAAGGCAGACTCGGCAAGATTTACCTGTGGGGTAAAATTTGAAACCAATATTCTAAAAAATATAATTGCAAAAATTTATTATCTTGACTTGACCTAGGAATACATACACGTTGACTTAGGTCGTCGTCCAATAGCTTAAGGCAAATAGACCGAAGAGGGAAAAAAAAAGAATTATCATAAGTTTTCAAGAAAATAATTTAATTACTAAAAAATCCCAACAATAAATTATTAGTATGAATATATTGTTATTTTCTATTCTAAAACTTGTCATTATATACTCTTTAATTGTTAATGAACTTGAGGATAATTAAATTCCTTCTTTAGGATCTGATTGTAATCCTCAAAAAAAAAAAAAAAACAGAGAGAGAGAGAGAGAGATACAAATGGAGAAAAAAATTGGGAAGGAAATAGGGCCCCCACTTGTCCTTGCACTCGTTTTCTCTCCCACTTGATAGCATTCAAGCTTCATCAGTGCTTAGAATTGACGACTACTTATCTCAATTGGTCTCCAATGAACTTATTGCATAGTGCGGAATATACAAGAGAAGCCAACACGTTCTCTCTCCATTTACTTATTGTTGCATAGATTAAGAAGTCTCATCACAATAATGACCACTATAATGCTTGTGATTACAGTGAGATCTGTATTGATTAAATACAATTTCAACCATTTATATTTAAAATTTTTAAATAATAATTTTTAAATAAAATTTTTTAAGGACAATTAAAAGATTAAATGAATTTTTGTAGTTAATTTATTAAATTTCTTTTAAATTATGTTTTTCGATTTCACCTGTACTAAATGAAATCACAAAAGAAATCTCAATAATAAGTGACGAGCACGCATGAATATGTTAGCATTTTCTATTCTAGAACTGTCATTACATACTCTTTAGTTGTTAATCAACTTTAAGATAATTAAATATTTTCTTTAAGATCGGCATTCCTTATTTCTATTCAACATACAAATAGTTCCGTGACTTTGGCTAAGGGATTGCTGAATCTTTGCCTTGGAATAAATAGAATAAAATAGATTGATATTAGTGCGATTTGACTCATTATCAGTGATCAATCTTGAACCAGAGAGATCATTCCTTTTTCTGATATACGAAATATGGGATTTCACTAAGTCAGTTCTTAGAAAATCTTGAATCAAACCATTTGTACTTACTTCAACAAAAGAATGGCAGGTCTCTTCAATGGAAGAAATTTTTTTTGTCTCGATCCCAATCTCATTGTAAATGACATACCAATGGAGAAAAAAATTTTGGAAAGGAAATAACGCCTCCCACTTGTCTTTGTACTCGTTTTCTCTTACACTTAATGGCACTCAAACTTCATCAGTGCTTATAGTTGATGACTACTTGCCTCAATTGGTCTCCAATGAACTTATTGCATAGTACGGAATATACAATAAAAGCAAATGACAGTCTCTCTCCATTTACGTTACTCATTGTTGCACAGTTTAAGAAGTCCCACCGCAATAAATGATCACCAGAAAACTTATTATTACAATGAGCTCTCTATTGGTTAAGTTCAAGTTCAACCATTTATGTTTAAAATTTTAAACTAATAATTTTTAAATGAATTTTTGTAGTTAATTCATTAAATTTTCTTAATTTTTTTTTTGGCAATTTCACCTGTACTAAATGAAATTATAAATGAGAGAGAAAAATATAAGTATTCACATTTAATCATTAATTTTAAACATAAAATTAACAAATAAGTATTAATTACTCCCTCCGGTTCAAATTATAAGATAAATCTTATCTATTTATGTTTATCAAGAAATTAGCTAAAATTAGTTTAGAGATATAAATAGGTAAGACATGTATTTTTTCCTCATATATGCCCTCATTAATGAAAATAATAAGTAAAAGATGCAATAAATAAATCAAAGAGAAAAGAAAATTTATGGGGGGATAAAATTGAGAAAATACTAAATGTTTTCTTATAAAAAAAATCAAACCCCTCTAATAAAGTTTAGCTTATATTTTAAATTAAGTTATTTATATTGTTGACCTAACTAATTTTTGTAGAAGTGGCTTATGTTTGTGATTAGAAAGGAGTACATTAAAACCCCACTGGCTTTTCTTTGAATATTTTTACATCCTTCCCGAGCAATATAAATTATAAAAGGAGAACGATCTAAAATTTCAATTTAAAAATAATTATGTACTAAAAAATTGTGTTGTAAGTTATAATTATTGATATAAGTAATTGTAAATTTATTAGGATTCTTAGTTCTAAAAATCACCAAAAGTGATCTGTGTGACTTAAATATTTTATTTAATTTGCAAACAAGATTTCAATATTTGTGACTACTTAAAGTTGACATTTTTAATTATTTTTAGAAATTTTTTCCCTAAATATCATTAAATTAATTTTTTTATATACGACCTAAGGGTTATATACCCCCATTTACAAATCATACCCTAACAATTTCTCAAATTTCGATGAAATGACTGGTGGAGAAAGATAATGAAAGTATGTTCACCACTTTCCACTGATTACCTTATCTTTCATATGGTAAGAATTAAAAATGAAATTTGTGATAGTAATTTATGGCGCAAATCAAGAAAAATTTGTGGCAAATTAATTTGCCATAGACTGGTCCATGTGCAAACTTTTACGATAAATTTGTAAATTTTCCATTATAAAATTTGTCGCACAATTTTTGTGATAGATTTGCAATCGACTTTACAGTGAAACATATTTCATCGCAAATTTTCAATTTTCTTGCACTCTTCTACCCTCTTATATATTTTTTGGATTAATGATAAGGGTTAAAAAACACCACAAGGAATGTAAATTATTTCCTTGCTTTGGCGCATGCTCTTACAAAACTAATATAATATATATAAATATATTTTCTCATTTCCATCCAACCTATATATCCAACATAAATGAAGTGGTAGAAGTCCAATCCAAATTGATCTCCATTTATTTCAACAAAAGAAAAAGACATCTTCAAAATATGATCAAATAATCCTCACTTGTGGAAGCGGAATACTACTGTGGTTTACAAAAAAAGATTCAGAGAAAAAGCAAAACCCCAAGAAATGACCAAAACTACAAATAATAATTAAGTATTCAAGTAATTTTATTGAGAACACATTCCTAATCCAGTAGCTGTTGTTGTCTGATTCCAAACAGAAGTAATATTAGTAAAGTGTGGTGAGGGCACCGATCACCACGGCCACGATAGCGACCATTCTTGAGGTTCTGTCGCTATTTCCTGCAAAAGCCAAACAAACTCAGGGTGATGATTAACGTATTCTTGAACTTCATTATTACAAGAAAATTCAATTTTTGTGTATTTGTGTGTGTATTATATTATATTTTTATAAGTCTACATATCAGACCATGCATATTGATCAAAATAGAATTTTACCTTCTGAAGCTTTGGGTGAATCAGCAGCAGCTTTTGGTGAATCAGAAACTCCTGTGATTCAACGTAAAAGGTTTATATATTATTTTTAAAATAAAACCGTAGGGCAATTTCAGTGGATGCTCTTAATTTGTTCAAGACCGCTGTTATCACTACCTTGATCTCATCCAACCACATAGATGGGTGAGTCCAATTTTTCTAGATGAACTCAGTGTACATATATATACATATAAGCTTAAACCATTTGAGAGATAACTATATATGTATATACATAGACACACCTGGAGGTGGTGAGGAAGTTGTTCTGCTAGACGGAGCATGAGCAGGAGGAAATGGAGATAATTGTGTTGAATCATAGAATTGGCCCTTTTCAAATCGAAGATTGCAGCTCAATTTGATAACTCTACCACCAATCCTATTCTGACAACAGATTGGGATATCTGAGATAGCCTTTCTTAAGCAATCTTCACAATCTTGCTGAGACAAATCAGGCGTGCACTGGGCAAGACCAAATACAGTTTCATTCTGATCAGCCGTTGCATTTCCCACGGCCACCTTCCGATCAGAGTCACCAGCTGCGGCTTTGCTTTTTAGACTTTCCATTAGATCATCAAGAGCCTTGGTGTACTTTTCTGCATCTTGTGCTTTATCTGGGTTGTTAAAATAGTAGGAAAACTCATGATCTTGGTAAATCCCAAAGATTGAACGATTCGAGTATCGAAACATGCACAAGTCATAGTATCCAAATGCCTCCGTCTGATTCGGACATTGCTTTGGGAGAATCATCGTGGCATTTTTGAGGCAACTACGGCAAGTTTCAGGCTTCACATCTCCTCTGCAGAGTCCAATTGCGTTCACTCTATTGGGGTTTTCACCATGAGAGAAATTGTAGAAGCCATAGTCAATTTTTGTGTCGGAGGCGACATTAGAAAGAAGGACATTGAGGTTGGTGTGAAAGACACTTGAGTTTGTGTAGGTTCCTTTGCCTAATGAACAATTGGAATAAACAGTGGCGTCAGGATGCTGGGCGGCCGAGAGAATGAGAAGATGAGAAAGGAATGAAACAAGAGCCAAGGAAATGGTAGACTTTGTCATCACTATTGGAATGAATTGTGAAAAATGAACCGAGGAATAATAAAGAAGCTTATTGTAAGATGAAATTCTGGGGCATTATTATTGATTGATGGTGAGCGATATATACATGGAGGAAGCAGGCTTGCTATAACAAAACTATCCCCCACTTCTTTATAGCCCACAAGTCAACAAGTCAAAGGTTCGACTCGAAGGTTTCTATTCTATCTGGGAATACAAAGTTTTGTACACGGTTACCGATTTTGACTTTTTCCCCTTATAATCTGGAGGTTGATTGGACTCGGCATTTCACTGTATGGTTCGGAACTTCTTCTCTCCTCTTTTCGTCCTCTTTCCCCTTCTTCCTTTTTTATTTATTGGTTAATATTTTAACAATCGATATTTAAATCTTTTTAAAATTATTATATAAAATATTCAATTATAAAAATACATAATAAATTACAATTTTATTAAAATTTATTTTTAATATTTTGCAAATGCACTAAATTTTTTTAAATTTTTTTTACAAATATAGTTTATAAAAAATTAAAATTTCAACCATTGAAATATGTTAATTCAATGGTTAGGGGAAAAGAGAGAGAGAGAGGGAAGCGGGTGGGAAGGAAAGATGAGAGTTTCAAAACCAGACAACATTATGATGACGTGTGTAGGAATACAGCCCTTGGGAAGCGTGTTAGATTTCGAATTCGCCCAGGATGGTGATGAGGTTATTTTAACTAGGATTTTTTTCCAGTTAAAATATAAATTAAATTGAAGTTAATTATTAAAGATATTGCATTAATTATGAGATTGTTAATTTAGAAGGAAGAAATAAATATTAGTTTTAGTGTCCAGAATATGTTAATAATTTTTTTTTTTTAAATATCGTCGCTACGTGTAGTGCATTCCCTTCTCTTATTTGTTGAATTTTCCAGCCTCCTCTTATTCTCTCTCTTTTCCTCTCCGCGTGACGCATCTGCTATTCCCTATTTCTCTCTTTTCCAGTCGGTAATACCTGGCACGGTCTTCCCCATTTCTATCTCATCTTCTTGACATATAGGAACGCCTTTAAAGAAAATAGAAGCATTTGGGTAAAAACCAAAATCATAATCCTTTTAGCTAAACAATGGTTTTTTTTTTTTCCAAAATCAATTTTACATAGAAAATCATGGTTTGGGGATATGGAAAATCCCGATTTTTCAAAAGCCAAATTTTTTAACTTTTGGAGGTGGAAAATCATGGTTTGGGGTGTAATACTGAAAGTGGCAAACATATTGTATTCAAGGTAACCTTATCTTCTTCCTTTCAAACTGCATGAGCCATTGTTGTCACTAAACTACTTTCATTTTAAAGACACTGTATTTATTTTAACATTGGTCAACAATAATAATTTTTTATTCATCTTAGTATGACAATTTTTAAATTTTTATAATATATTTTATTATTTAAAAATACAATACAATCATTTTTATTATTTTAGTATGTAAATATTACATTAGCTTATGTCGTTTTACGTAGTAGATACAAAAAAGTGATTCTCATTACAATCATCCAAACATTTTCAGTTTATTAATTTATCTATTTAGGAGTGTTTGGAATAGCTTTTCAGAATTAATTTTATGAAGTTTGAAATAATATGTAAATAGAATTTTATTTCAATTTTACATGAAAATATTTTCAAATAATCATGAGTGTTCTCAAATTCTCAAAATAACCTCTTCTTTTTTATTTTTTTCAGAACCTATTCTCTAAAAATTAATCCAAACACATCTTCCGTGTTGCGTGTTCCTCATTCACGTCATAGAATGGGACGTTTTAGGTCAGACATGATGACGTGGGGCTTTTGACAACTTGGGGTTTCTGATGTAACTCCAACACAATTACTTTCTGAGGAAAAAATGGGTCAGTTCGAAGTGGTAGTCTATAAACAATGTTTTATAATTAAGATCAGAAATAGTACATGACTTTACATGAGCAATTGGTTTTGGGCCAATGCAAATAGATATTTTAGCGCGTTTCAATCTCAGAACACGCCTAGGAAATTATGAAACACAGGTTGATGGATTATTTAAGAAGAAAGGCTTCTTTGTTCAGCCGAAAAAGAAAGAAAGAAAGGCTTCTTTTTGAATTGGCTTTTTCTCCGATCCATCTAACTTTGGCAATAAAAGCAGGGCACTGTGACAGCGAGAAAATATTGTGATGAGCAGTGAAGAAACTAATGTACACACCAATGACCATTTTTATTTTTATAATTTTAATTTTAATAATTCCCTAAGAATTATCACATTAGATACATAAAATATAAGTATATTATTTGATAAAATTAATGTTTTTTTAGTCATTTATATATAAACTAGTTTTTTAATTAATCATCTAAATAAGCTTCAATTTCGCAAATAGACTTTTTAATAAAGCCAATCCAAACATAAATTTTATTATACTAACTGATTTTTATTCTAAGTTTGGTTTGCAATAGTCAGATAAAATAAAAACCACTTTTATTACCAATAATCCATACACACCCCTTAGACTTTTCAGCAAATCTAATGATAAATTCCTATTTTAATATATTATTTGATATCTTTTAGGAAATATTTATTAACTAAAGTGAGATAATTTGCATTGACTGTGGATATTTTGAATTAGATACTGATTGCATGAAATTATATATTTAAAAAGAAATCTTATCATATTTTTATCTTTTCTTAAATAATTAATTTTGAGCTTTATGATAGTATCTCAATTTATCTTTTACAGGCCTTAGAAAAGGAATTAAATATGAAAAGAAAGCTGAAGAAAAAAAAGAAGAAAAAAGAAAATAAGAGACGCAAGGGCAGGGCATCAAAAGATTTGGTTTATTTATATATATATATATATATATATATATGTGTGTGTGTGTGTGTGTGTGTTGATTAGGGACGCCACATGAATACACAGCTGCCAAAAGGCTCCTTCAAATACCATTCATATACGCTGTCACGCCGAAACATCAATTCACAAGCCGCGTACACAAGAAGTTCATATCCTCTCCTCAACGTCACGCAACCACACACCGTCACTATTCACTTGATCTCCGTCCAACCTCCACGGCCTCATGGATTCATACTCCTTCAAATATATTGGGAATTCTTCTAGAGTCATGAGAGGCTAATCCCATTGTGCTTCTTGGAGATGAAGGAATAGCTTGAGCTTGGAACTTCAACTAGGGGAGTATTTAGTTTTCCAATTAATTTTTTCTTGGACTCACTACAAAAAAACATGCTTTTAGTGAGGGAATTTAGCGACGGAATTAGCAACGGACTGGCGACAGAATTTGTTCCGTCGCTAATTCCTTTGTCGCTAATTGATTATCGACTGAATTGAAATTCCGCCGCTAATTAGCGACGGAAATTTCTATCGCTAATTACCGATGAATGTTTCCCGTTGCTAATTCTTAACAAAAATTTTCGTCGATAATCCGTCGCTAACCCAATTTTCTAAAAAATAAAATAAAATGCCACGTGGCACCTCTACCAATTGCCACGTGGCACCTCTACCAATTGCCACGTCATCACTGGGGACCACCTCCACGTGTCTCTGCCACCTCACCTCTACCTGCCACGTGTGCTACCACCTCACCTTTGCTGCCACATCACATGTCACCGTTGCTAATCCGTCTCTAATTTTTGACAAAAATTTTTGTCGATAATCCGTTGTTAACTCGATTTTTTAAAAAATAAAATAAAATGTCATGTGGCACCTCTACCAATTGCCACGTCATCACTAGGGACCACCTCCATGTGTCTCTGCCACCTCACCTCTACCTGCCACGTGTGCTGCCAGCTCACCTTTGCTGTCACATCACATGTCACCTTTGTTTGCCACGTGTCGCCACCACATAATTCACTCTTCAAAGTGAATTAATTCACAAGCCGCATACACAAGAAGTTCATATCCTCTCCTCAACGTCACGCAACCACACACCGTCACTATTCACTTGATCTCCGTCCAACCTCCACGGCCTCATGGATTCATACTCCTTCAAATATATTGGGAATTCTTCTAGAGTCATGAGAGGCTAATCCCATTGTGCTTCTTGGAGATGAAGGAATAGCTTGAGCTTGAAACTTCAACTAGGGGAGTATTTAGTTTTCCAATTAATTTTTTCTTGTACTCACTACAAAAAAACATGCTTTTAGTGAGGGAATTTAGCGACGGAATTAGCAACGGACTGGCGACAGAATTTGTTTCGTCGCTAATTCCTTTGTCACTAATTGATTAGTGACTGAATTGAAATTCCGCCGCTAATTAGTGACGGAAATTTCTGTCGCTAATTACCGATGGATATTCCCCGTCGCTAATTCTTAACAAAAATTTTCGTTGATAATCCGTCGCTAACCCAATTTTCTAAAAATAAAATAAAATGCCACATGGCACCTCTACCAATTGCCACATCATCACTGGGGACCACCTCCACGTGTCTTGCCACCTCACCTCTACATGCCATGTGTGCTGCCACCTCACCTTTGCTGCCACATCACATGTCATCATTGCTAATCCATCGCTAATTCTTGACAAAAATTTTTGTCGATAATCCGTTGCTAACCCGATTTTTTAAAAAATAAAATAAAATGTCATGTGGCACCTCTACCAATTGCCACGTCATCATTGGGGACCACCTCCACGTGTGCTGCCACCTCACCTTTACTGCCACATCACATGCCACCACATAATTCACTCTTCAAAGTGACTTTTCCATGGATCGAACCCAAGACCTCCTCTGTGCGCATGTGCGGCTTTACCAGTTGAGCTACAATGAACCTGTTAACTTATTATGTAAAATTAAATATATATATATAATATTATTTTACACAAACAATTATATATGCATATATATTATTAAAAACTAAAAATATACTATATGATAATTTTAATCATAACTATTTTAATGAAAAATAATTTTTAAATATTTGTTTTATAATTTTTTATTTTAAAAAAATATTTTTAATATAATTTTAATTTCTAATAACACTAATCTTGAATTT